ACGTATTCACACATAGTCAAGACTACCATGATGATCGACATGTCCACACAAGCAATCATCATCCTCATGATAGTCATCGTGACGATTAGATTAACATCAGGACTGTAGATGACCGTTATTTCGATATGATGACATCATCATGACTGTAGATGACCGTTACGTCGATAAGGATGATTATGATTGATTGTTTCCATCATCAATCATCATCATCGTCATACAGTGATGATGATGATGATGATGATGATGATCACATGATTATCATCACCATCATCATGTCGTCACAGGCTCGATGACTCAATCATTATCATCCTGGTCATCATCATCATCATCATCATCATCATCATCATCATAGAAGGGTCAACCAAACCAATCAACCCATCAAAATAATCAATCAATCATCATCATCAAAATAACGATCACCATCAGCATCTCGTAACACGCTCGATGAATCAATCATCATCATCATCATCATCATCATCATCGGTGGGTCAACCAAACCACTCAACCCATCAACGTTATCAATCAATCAATCAATCAATCATCATCAAAATACCGATCTTCTGCATCGCGCGATATTTGTGCAATCCAATCATCATCCAGTGACACGTCGTTGTCGATCTGCTGATAATCAACATGTTCCCAGTCTCCACCCGCGAGAAATTTTTCCTGCATCAGGCGCGTAAAATCTTCCATTCCTCGGACAGCCATATCTGAAGGCGGTTGGCTTCTTCCTCCTCCTTCGTGCAAATCACGCTCTCCATCACCATCGCCTGTCCCCGCATCAACCTTCCCTTCTCCTCCTCCTTCTCCTCCTCCTCCTCCTTCTCCTCCTCCTTCTCCTTCCCCTCCTTCTCTCTCTCTGTTTTGCGCATTCACCTGTCTTGCACCATTACTATCGACCACCATGCCACTACCTTCTTCCATCGCTTCCTCCTCTCCCCTGTGTTGTCTTTCTCCTTCTTTTTCAACCTTCTCCTCACTCCCATGTCCCCCGACGTCCATATCTTGCCGATGATCATCTGTGTCCAGATTCAACGTATCTTTAGTGTTATCCTCCCCCTTCTTCCCCTCCTCCTCCTCCTCTTCCTCCTCCTCCTCCTCCTCCTCCTCCTCGCTCTCTTCTCCTTCTTCCCCCTCTCGATCTGTTTCTTCCTCTTCTTCTTCTTCCGTATCCTCCTCCTCCTCCTCCTCCTCCTGTTGTAGATCGGCGAACTGCGGTTCGGGTTCACCCATTGCCGCACATTCACTCCGCAGACACGCCGCGATCCGGACCTCTCTACTCTGTCTCATTAGGATTTCAGACAAGCGCTCGCCAGGGCGCGGCTGTACTCTTCCGGAATGAACTTGACCTTGAAACGCGCCCACGTACTGATAATGAAGAAGCGGTGATCTTTCCCTCATGGCCTCTTCAGAGAAGTACTCTCCATCTTTCATCAGTCTTGTCATGAACGCAAATCGACGGTTCTTAACGGTGATGGAGTTGGATCTGGCCTGTTCTGCGGTCGGATTCATCCACCTGGCCAACGTACGGACGTGCCACATCACTTCATAATCATCTTTGAAAATTTCGAATTGTCGTAGTTCTTCCGCATTTAACAATTTTCCATACCTCTCAAGAAAAATGGCCTTGTCTCTTTCCACAAGCTCTGCCAGATGCTCTTTCTTCTCCTCCCTTGACACATCATCCCCTCTGCGCGCCATCGCGTGTGGAAGATGAATTGTATCTAGACCACTTAGCCGGTTGGCCATCTTCCCCACTGCTTCGTCATCTATTCTCGGATACCCCTCGTTACCCATATTTGGAAAATACCCTTCTTTCCCAAAAAAAAGAAAAAAAAAAAGGAAAACCCCCCTACTGCTCAAGGCCCCCCTTTTTGCTCAAAACCCCAACAAAACTACTAAATAGTAAATACCCTACAACGCAACCCCCACACCCTTCCCTCTCGCCCCCCCTTCTGCTCACGAAAAAACCAAACTATGATACAAGCCAAATCCCCCTCAGTCGGGGTCTGCTTCCCCACTTCCCCTCCGCGCACGCGCGCTCAACCTCCACTGCCTCCCCACAACCCCAGCCCCGCTTCTTCCTCCCTTTCCCCTTGCGCTACTCTTCTCCTTCAGTTAAAACGCTCCACTGCCACGAACTGCTCGCTTTTTTTTTTTTCTTTTCCCTTTTTTTCCCTATCTCAATGACGGAGGTCAGGCAGGTGGGCACCGAATGAGAGGGGAAGCGGGAAAAGAGCGCGCAAACAAGGTGGGACCTCGAATGAAAGGGGGGGTAGCAAGAAGGG